GAACACCTGGGGCCGTTGGGAAGGAGCAACACAGACAGACAGGGTGAGCCCGGGAGGGAGAGGAGTCACCTGCAAAGTCATGGTGAGATCTCCCCCATCCCACCTCTGCAGAGGCTTCACCCACAAAGGCTTTGGCTCATGGACACCAGGGCATTGCTGGTGCCATGGAGAGGAGAGAATGGCTGTGGATGGGCTGGAGGGAGGGTAGCAGAGCCCTAGAGATGGATTTGGGGGTTCCAGGAGGAATATTTGGGGTTTCCTGGAGGAATAGCATCAGCTGCAAGAGATCCATGGTACATGGGCAGCGCTTGGAGTAAGGCATCCCCAAACGCTTCAGAAACCAGAGGCTCCACCCCAACGAGGACTCACTAATGAATGCAGCCTTCCTCACCGCTTAATCACGGCGTTACCCAGGAGAGCGTTCCCACGTACCACATCCCCTCTCCCCCACGGGAGATGCATCCGTGAGCCCTTCCCCAAACGCAGGGGAGAAGCAGAAGTTCCCTGGATCCCCCAGCTCCTCAAAGCCACATCTCGGGGGTCCTCCCCCCCCCCGCAGCAGCTTTCATTTACGCCGAGACAGAGAGCAGAGACTGCTCAGAGCACCACGGCATGCAAAGGGTGCACCCTGAGACAGAAAGGCAGTTCTTCTCATCCCAAAACCCAGCACAAATAAAGCATGGGATAAACACCCAGACTCTGCCCCCCCCCCCAAAAACTTGGAAGATCACTTTATTAATGTAGTAGGCTGCTACCAGATGGAGCAGAAAGGAATGCCAAGAACAGATCACTGGCTCCTTACGAAGCTCAGAGCCGCTCACTAACTTTTTCCAAGCAACAAATTAGCCCAGAGGTGTTGGGCTGCTTGGAAAGGCAAGGATCTTAACGGCGAGAAATCTGCCAGGGCGGTTCTTTGGGTCGTCACTGGGAATTAGAGGTTTTACAGCTCCCGTTGGGAGTCACCGTGCCCCAGTAATGCCCAGTGCCAGGTCTAGGTAAGCTGGGCAAGGCAGCTGCTGAGCGGGAAGCCGCTC